AAACTTCCGGTATTCTCGTTTGGATTTCGTCCAACTTCCGGTATTCTCGTGTTTGCACTTCGTCAAACTTCCGGTATTCTCGTGTTTGGATTTCGTCCAACTTCCGGTATTCTCGTGTTTGGACTTCATCCTACTTCCGGTATTCTCTAAAGCACGCAATGTGTCGAAAACTGGATCTGTCTTCGTCCGCCGACGCAAGGAGGAGTCGCAGAGCTGGTTTTCGAGAAGTTTTGTTATTTTTAGAACACCAGACAATGGACAAGTACAAAAACACAGTAATCCAGCGTGGTGAGGTTAGACTGTCATCAACAGAGTAAAATAAAGTGGAATACGTGTTTGTTTTTTTTACCGAGCTGTATTTACTATAACGAGATACCTTATAAAACTGATTTTAATAAGATTTGTTTCAATTAAATCATGAATATAAATGATTTCCAAAATTTTAGAATTACAATTTATAATTTCGAATTGAATGTAAACACGGTACTATTATAATCAGCGGCCTAGTTTCGTTCTAAAGACTTGAAACTGAATTTTATCTTCAGGTGTTAAACGTGGCAGAATGTTTTAATCGACAGAACCGATACACATAAAAGAACTCAAATGTAAGTACATGTTATTTTTAATTTTTGTGTGGGAACAAGGCTGTGGACGAGTGGCATCTTTAATTAATTGTAGTTACCATTATACTTTAATCTACAGATGATATTTATTTTTCAGATTTATGTTGCTTCCGTAAATATAAAATATCGTATAAAATACGTTTAGAGGCGATCATAGAAACAGCAAGGACAAGAATAATGACGTCGTTCAAATACGTATTGCAGTTCGTCACTTTGAGTTAATGTCAGTTATTTACGTTTTAGAAACAACAAAAAATGCTACTTTATAATATATGGATATTAAATAAAATATTATGTTAAATTTTATATACATACAGTACATTTTAAAATTGCTGTAGAAAAGTGTTTATATTTCGAAAAAAATGTGTACTATAACGTTCAGAATATTTTTGTAAATATCTTAAAGCCACAAGAATGGCGTGGTTCTACGAGATTTAATATTAAAATGTAAATCCACCGAAAGAAATTGAAGCTGATTTTAAGGAACTACTTAATTCATTGTAAATCGAACATATTTGTTGTGCCACAAAACAGTTTTGTTCCCACATTAATGGCCTAAAATCTGAAGTACGAAACGAACACTTATTTTGCAATAGCCATCTTACGTAACCAACCGGTATAAACAAACATTCGGAACATTTTTTTTTACCACAAATACAATAGCAAGCAAATGCATTCTGAGTCCAACACTCATGTTATGTATTATCGTTCAAACACTTATCGTATGATTTGCAATAGCCCAATACATTTTGAGTCTGACACTCAGATGTACCATATTACACATACCACATATGGAAAATAAAAAAAAAGTTTTACAATAAGTTACAATAGCCCAATACACCTCGAGTCTGACACTCTGGTGTACCACATACACAAACTTTATGCGACAATTTTTCCTGCAATAGCCCGAGTGCGTAACGAGTCTGACACTCTTACGCACGTACATACACACTACTCAACTCTTTAAACAAAATAGTTGCCACAATAATAAATATATAATATAGAGTGTGACACTCTAAATGTATATGTCTCAAATGGATTAAAAGTTTTGAAGGTAACTTTTTTTCTTACAATAGCCCAAACACGTACGCGGCGACACGCTCGTACGTGCAAGCCACAGCGCCGTAGTATATAACCAGTACATAATAAGTCTGCAACTTTATGTATCACAATGAACAAGCTACATGCTGCAGCCTACTGTCAATAATTTACAATAGCCCAAATACATAACGAGTCTTACACTCTTATGTACTTACAATACAAAAAAGGGGTATTTTGCCTGTAAATCATATTGCGCATAATTGTCTGTCCCCCTTAAACGATACGCTGAGTGGAGTTACGAAACGAGCGACATTTTTATGCGTACTTAAGGCTTAAGTAATCGCAAGAGCGGATTAAACTTTGTAGTTAGACAAGTATGCCGTGGTTTATGGACAGAAGACCCTGAAACAGAAATGCGCCACAATTTACAATAGTCCATACACGCACCGCGTAGTATAACACTCGCTGTGTGTGTCCACAATACACTTTTACAAAATGCTGCAGTTATGTAGTATTTTATTGTAACAGCCAACATTAAGGTGAATCACTCCAGATTCATTTTAATATCTACTGCTTTTATTTTAAAAAAATATCAGTTCTTTTCGCCATTAAACAAAGTTTTAAGCTCATTATTATTACAAAAATACATAGAGTCGGAAACTTGTTATGTAAAACTCTGCACAATAGCCAAATACATGCATGAGAAGTGACACAATGTCAATTTCAGACTGTATGTACTACATTTTTAAATAAATTTGAAATAAATAGGCCTAAAGTTTACCATGAATTGTGTTACTGGCACAATTTAATCACTGTTTGATTTCACAGTTTGGTAATATATTTACGAAAGTGATTCGTTGGAACACGAGTAATTACATATGAATATAATTAGATACACAGATACAATTCTTACCAGTTTCTAGTTTTCTACATTATTTTATCAGTATCAATATTAATGTATTCTCAACCATCAAAATTCAAAATTATAATAATAGGCCTACATATGTGTATCGAAATTATTAATAAGTAATTTTTTTGTTTTAAAATAGTACTCAGCGTACTTGAAGTACGTCGGTTTTTGTTTGTATCGTGGATTCGTTGCACGGTTTAATTTTTAATGATCGTTTGTTTTATTCCATTGTACAATATGGAATACATTCGTTTTATACCAGTTTTCAACATCTGAATAAGGTGTCTCTGTTTTCAAACTTGCAAACCAAAAATCCATGAAAAAATATGTAACAGATAAGTTTTGTGTGTCCCAAATATATAGATAGAATGAAGGAATGACAGGTAAAAATGCAAAGAGTGGGATATTTTTGTGGGCCG